GGACTCGGTGAGTTTCCTCGTTCCCCCGTGGGGACGGCGCTGCGAAACAGTGGCGTTGGACCCTCAGCGCGACTTAGTAAAAACGACTCCAGGGGGATCGGAGGCGTAGACCGAAGAGCTAAAGCCGAGGCACTTTTAGGAGAAAGCCCAGGACAGCGGCCGGGAGACGCTGCACTTGGCGGTGCCCCCTCGGCCGGAGGGACGCCGGGGCCGGAGCACGTGCGGGGCGCAGCCGAGCTGTATCCGCGCTGATGCAGGGGGCTGCGGCTCGTTCATTTTCATTCTCTGGACCATATTAAGGAAATGTCCCACATTGTATTTCTCTGTCCTCCTGGGTAATGATACATCAGCCCCCCAGTTTGTTGCCATTACCGCGTCTCAGCGCTGAGCCTTCTCGCGTTGCAGGGCACACGTCTGAGTTTTCTAGGGGCAGACTCAGTAGTAATACCATCACCTCATCACCTACAGGCGTTTTCAGCTTTACCCGATGCCAGTTTTTACACGTTGTTCTGTAGACTACAGTTTACACCCTCATCAGCAGTATATAAAAGTCCCTTTGGCTCCATATACTTTTTGATACTTAGAATTTTTAAGACTCAGATATTTACCTCACTAGTGAATCGAAATAGTATATCCTGTTGTTCTTTTGATTTGCATTTCCCTTGAGCTGGTGATCTTTTCATTGCTTCTAGGCCCTTCCTGATTCCTCTTCAGTGAAATGCCCGTTCACCCCACCCAAGAATCACTGGGGCGGTTGAAGAGAAGAGGGAATCACCTTTGAGGTATTGAAGGCTGGTCCCCAATTTTGGGTTTCCTAGGGCAGGAAAGTTGTCACCCCTAAGAGTAGATAGGTAGCTTCATTTTTCTGGGAAAGGTTAGAGTCAAACCTTTTGTGTTTATGGGTTTGGAAAGACAAGAAGAGGGCCCTTTTGCCTCGTTGCATCAGAGAGCAAGATGGGTCACCAGCAGCTCTCCTGGAGCCATGGGAGAAAATTCTGTCAGGGTTCCTCGTTCTTGCCTCGTCTGCTCCAACCAGCACAGTCTCATCCAAAAATATGGCCTCGGTATGTGCTGCCAGCGTTTCCATGAGTCCTTGAAGGACATGGGCTTCATTAAGTTGGACTGAGCAAACTTCTGTGAATGGACCATTCAAGACATCTATCTTACTGCAGAATGGTAGCTCTTTGTACATAAAATAAAAATAAAAAAACTTCAAGCAAACAAAAAAGTCAAGAAGAGGTTCAGCATTCGGGATGGAAATAAAAACTCAACCCAAGTAGGTTTACTCAATAAAGGAATTTATGAACTCATGGCACTGAAAACCCTGGGAGTAGGATGCCTCTCAAGTTTGAGCTAGTGGTTTGTGAAGCCACCAAGGCTCTGAGTCCATATTCTTGCCCTTCTTGTATACCAGCTTTTTCCCTAGGCTGGTTCCTATCATCATCATCACCACCACTTTTTTGTTGAGCATTTACTATGACCCAGCCACTGTTCTAAGTGCTTAGTCCCCATTGGGGCATTTAATCCTTTCAATAACCCTATGTGGTTGGTACTATAATCCCACTATACACATGAGAAAACTAAGGGGCAGTCCCACAGATAGTAAGTGGGGTGCCTGCATTAGGTCTTAGGATTCTGGCTCAGGGCTCACACCTGACAGCCATTCCAAGTCACTCATGTGAACTCCACCATTCAGAAAAAGAGAGCAGCTATGTCCTAGCACTCCCAGGAAAGGGCCTAAGATTTACTCTAATTAGAGCAGCTTTGGTGACATGCCTACCTATCTTAGGGTTCTCCAGAGAAACAGAACTAAGAGGATATATATATATATATATGTGTGTGTGTATATAAAAATGTATGATATATATTTATATATTTCATATATATAAAATCTCTTCCTAATGTATACATATAAATATTATACATGATTTATTTTATAAATACACATATAAGCTATATATGTCTATATCCTACAGAACTTAAGGACTCTCCACATAGATGCCTCCAGCAAACATTTGTAAAAGGCAAACGGTGGTGGGAAGAGTGCAGCACAACCCAGGCACCACTGTAAAACAAAACATTGGCCATGGCTTCCCCCCTAAAAGAAATGTGCCGCGCTAAACTCACCTTCGCGTTGGTATGCCTCCGGGGGTTGTGAGGAGTTAACGGAGAGTGATCAGGAGGGGTGTTGGAGGCAGCAGGGTCCTGAGGCCCGGGGCACCTGGAGCAGTGTGAGCAACCACAGGGGAGCTCAGAGATACCAGCAAACGGGTGACTGCAGGAAGCTGGAGGACATATATACGTATGGGATCCTTAAATTATGCGCCAATTTAATGTTTAACTTTTGTGTTTGGAAAATGAAAAAAAAAACACACCATGGCTTTTATAATACAAATACAAAAAATAATAACTACAAGTAATCTTAGATCCTTGGGATAAACTGAGTGGTTGGGTCTGGGTACTTCCATGTGGAACTATATCTTCCCTGTGGAGTGGGTTAATGTACATGTTAGTTCCATATTTGGGAATTATTAGTTTGATGTTTAAGTAAGAATATAAAGAGGAATATTTTTATTTATCTTACAGGACTGTCGTGAAGAGGTAAAGAAAACAGAGGCCCCTAGATAAATAAAAGGGTTTATGGTTTCTTTGAGCCCGGTTGCTTTTTTCCCTAGCAAGCTCTTCTGTTGAGTTTTCCTTCAGTGTGTGGCCACTAGAGGGCAGATAAAGAACAGGACAGGAAATTTGAGAATGTATTTGGAGACCAGAGCTGCTCCTGTGCAGACATTGTAAACATTAGTTCAAAGTCAGTTCAAGATAAGACTAGAAGCCTTAAACGCCCTTGCTCAACTCATTTTTCACCTTGTTCCTCCAAGTTTCCCTTAAGCCAAAGGATATGATTTTCGAGTGTGAGAAAGAAAATAATTGAGTTCTCAGATCATCCAACTTTCCTTCTTAACCTTCTACAGCACCAACAAATCACTGGGTACATGGGAATAACTAAACTTGGCAGTTTTCATCAGGAAGAAACGAAAAGTCATTATCTGTTTTAAACAGACCAACTGCTCAACATCTGTAATTATGACGCAGCAAAACAAACTGGAAGCGTCCCGGGGGGCCAGGGTGAGCCAGGGGGGAGACCTGCGCTCGGATGTTCCCTTTAAGAAAGCGGGAAGTAAAATTCAGAAAGGACGTCTTACTCGGTGCCCGTTCAAGTTGGAGGGCAGAAAGGTTTTTCCACCAAACGGCAGTGACATGAGATGCCTCTGTGTGTCACATGCTTCTGACATCTCCCTGGCTCTAAGCGACGACTGAACTTATTTGCTCTGTAACTAATGTTCTACTTTTTCCAGATCGGACTGGCACTGCTCCGACCCAGGCTGAGGTCACATGGCTAAATCGGTCTGAGCACCACATCCTGACCATGCAGAGTCACATGTCTCAGATTCCATTCCCAGCTCCCTGCAGGGCTGGGGCGGGCTCAGGGCTCCCGCTTCCATTCCCAGCCCCCTGCAGGGCTGAGGGGCTGAGGGGCTGGCTCAGGGATCCCGGCTTGAGCATCCTACCAAAACCCAGGATTTCTCTAGTCAGGGAGTAGCTGACTTCCAGCCTGCACGGGAAGTAATTTTATAACTCAAGTGAATGGGGAAAATGAAATGAAAAGACAGCCAGAAGAAAAATATTTTCTTAAGAAGGGAGAAAAGGGTGCTAGAATAAGATTTCTGCAGTCTATCTGTCCCCAGGACACTCAGGCTGGTCGAGAACTTTCTGAGATAGTTTTCGTCCTTTTGGTGTGAACTTGCTCACTCTGACACTACTGTTGGGTGGCCTGAGGACACAGACAGTGTGAGGCCGACCTTGTGCAGAGTTCCCAGCAACTGTTGTCCTTACTCCAGTGACCCTTCCTGCTCAGTGAGAACTGAGTAGTGGGAGAACCATCAGACACGCTCGGGTCAGACAGGCTTTCCTCTCTAACCCCCGGGGCGACACAGAAAGCCTTGCTAGAACCTTCTCTAGGAGGAAAGAGCTCCCCCCATACTCCGGCCGCTGCCCTGTATCTCATTGGCTCGCTCACTCTCCCCTTTGACCTTGTCACAGCTGAAAAGATCATTACCTCCCTACCCCTGTACCTCACACCACTGCCAGGGCAGTGTGTTTCCTGGGCTTGGAGGATCAGAGAAGGCTTCCTACAGGAAGTAGCACCTTTGATCTGACTGAAATGAAGGCACAGGAGCCATCCGGGCCAGGGAAAGAGAGTGTTCCTGGGACAAAGTGTGCAGAGTCCCAGCAGGGAGCAAGCGCGGGGAGCGTTCTGGGAGCTAGAGGCCCAGTGTGGCTGGAAGAGTTGGGGAGGCGGCGGATGAGTCTAGGGAGACAAGCAGAGACCCTCCAGTTCCTTGCAGTGTTAGCATCACCTGGGAGCTTATTCGAGATGCAGAATTTGAGGCCTGACTCCAGAATTACTGAATCGGAATCTGAACTTTAAGATGGGGGGGAGGGGGCGCATTAGGAAACCTCCGAATGATTAAGCAGCGCATCACATGACAGGACTTGTGACTTAGGAAATGATTCTCTCCGCAGAGCAGGGGAAAAGCGAGTGAGTTACTTGAGACCAGTATAGGAGACAGGAGTCAATTAAGAGACTGATGCCGCTGTCCCAGTGAGAGCCGGCCAGCGCCCTGATGGGCCGCAGGAGCAAGGGGCAGAGGGCAGTGGGCCGATTCACAGACAAGAGACTGTCAGCTGTGGTCTGGAGCGGGCCGGGGCACCCCAGCCTCTCCCAAGTGCCGGGCGGAGTGACAGCGCAGCGGGCGGGGAGGGCGGCAGGGCGGAGGGAGGCAGTATCGGGGCTGTGGGAAAGCCGGGCTGAGACGGGAGGCCCTCCCGGTCTGCAGGTTGCCCAATGCAGAATGTGAGCTAACCGGTTCCACATGCGCTGGGTTCGTGTGTCCTGCCCCTCGTGGGGTGCTGAGCACCCTACGGCTGGCACGACTGGCACTCCTGACTCACCTTTCCACCTGAACGGGCCATATGCAAAGCTGGAAGCCCGCCCGCAGTTGGGGGGGGGG